ATCTCTTCAGGGTACTCTTAATGTTATTTGTTATTTCTTCTAGTTGTTGTTATGTGCTGTCAAGTCACTTGCAACTCATGGCGTCTCTATGTACAAGAGCCCTAAACCCTGCTCTATCCTGTGCCAACCTCACTGTCTCTGAAACACCTACTCCCATTACTCTAATCACGGAATTAATCCATCTCATCGTGGGTCTTCCTCTATTGTGCTGTCCCTCCACTTTCCCAAACATGATCCCTCTACAAGGAATGGTCCCTCCTTTGAACATGCCCAAATTACATCAGACGAAGCTTCATTCAAGCAAGGTGTTGTTCAGCTTCCAAATGTATGTATTTTTTTTCTCCTTTATCCTCTTGTTATTAATTTCTAATTTTGTATAATGGTTTGAGAAAATTTTTTGTATTATTTCTATGTTTTTTTAATTTATTGATGCTTGCCTTGTGACCTAAAATGTGATCTATTCTGGAGAATGTTCCATGCAATTGGAGAAGAAAGTATACTGTGCTTTTTTGGGGTGCATTAGCTTATAAATATCTGTGAGATCAAGCTGATTTATTTTGTGGTTTAATTCTTCAGCATCTGTGTTGAGTTTCTTTCTGTTAGTTCTATCTTGTCTTGAGAGTGATTTATTGAAGTCTCCAACTATTATAGTAGTGTTGTCTATTTCCTTTTTCAGTTTTCTTGATGTTTGTTTTCTATATTTTGCAGGTCTTCCATTTGGTGCATAGATATTTATTTTTATTATGCCCTCTTGTTCTATTAACCCTTCAAGCATTATGTAGTGACTTTCCTTTTCTTTTGTGATAGTTTTTGCATTGAAGTTTATTTTATCAGAGATTAATATCACTACCCCTGCTTTTTTCCTATTTGCCATTTGCTTGTTATATTCCCCCCACCCTTTTATTTTTAATCTTTCTTTATCTTCATTTTTCAGGTGTGTCTTTTGTAGACCGCATATTGACAGATTTTGTTTGGTTGGTTTTTTTTTTTTTTAAATCCAATCTGCTACTCTTTTTCTCTTCAGTGGTGGGTGCATTTAAACTGTTTACATTCATTGTGATTATTGAGAGGCAAGAGTTTATTTCTATCATTTTGTTGAATTCCTTTTGATGTTGTTGCTAGTTACTTTGGTCCATCCTGCTTTCCGTGGCACCTCTTTAAGAAGGTTGTCTCTCAGTATTTCCTGCAACACTGGTCTTGTTTTTCCAAACACCCATAGGTTGTTTTTCTAGGAATATCTTGATCTCTTCTTCACATTTGATGGACAATTTTACTGGGTACAGTATTCTTGGTTGATAGTTGTGTTCTTTGAGTGTTTGATATATGTCGTTCTACTGTCTTCTTGCTCACATGGTTTCTGCTGAGAAATCAGTATCTAATCTTATTTGCTGCCCCTTATAGGTTATTCTTTGTTTCTCCCTTGCTGCTTTCAGAATTCTCTCCTTATCATTGATTCTGGCAAATCTGACTGTGATATGTCTTGACGTTTATCTTTTGGGGTCTATTCAATATGGTGTTTGCTCACCGTCTTGGATATATATGTTCTCATTCTTCATTATGCCTGGGAAGCTTTCTTCTAGTAACTGTTCCACAACTTTTTCTGTGCCTTCTCTTGCTTCTTCTTATTCTGGGATTCCAATGATGCACATGTTATTTCTCTTGATGGTGTCCCACATTATTCTTAGGTTTTCTAATTTTTCCCTTCCTTCTTGATTCTGCTTTTTGCTGTATCAGATCAGTGGTGACAATTCTATTTCACTGGTTTCAACTCTGTTCATGTGCCCCTCCATGATGTTGACAACATCAGAAATATTGAATCCTATATTTTGGGTCGTGATTTCTTGTTTTTCCAGAGCCTCTAATGCCTCGTTTGTTTTATCTGCATTGTTTTGGATTGTTTTATTAAAGCTGCTCTTGGTGTTTGCTTGCAGTGTCTTGTAATTCTTCAAGTTTGTTTTTCACCCACTGAAAATATTTAATCATTGTTCTTTTAAATTCTGTGTCAGAAAGTTCCACCAGACTTTCTCACTTCAGGAAATCCATTGATACTGTGTCACTTTTTGGGGATGACATCTTGCTTTGCACCTGTGTAGAGTGTGAGTAGCTTGCTTTTTAGGTAACATTGCTGTGGTAGGTAGAGTTTCTCATGCCTCCAGAAATGATGCAGCAGTAGTGTGGCTTGTGTTTCTCTTTGAACTTCTGTTCCAAGAGAAGTTTCAGTACAGGGCCTGTAAAAGCAGTCTCTTCTGTTTATAACTGTTGTAGTTTGGTCAGATTGAGATGTTCTGGACTAAAGGCAGGTAGTTGACTGGACATGAGGAGATGCATGGCAAAGTGTGGAGGCATGGGTGCAGGGAGGGCACAGGTGCAGGACAAGTATGGGCATGGGCACGGACACAGGGTGCACAGGGCAGGCATGGGTGCAGGGCACAGGTGCAGGGCAGGCATAGGCCCAGGGCATTCACGCAGACTCTCGCCTATTGGTCACGAGTGGAGATCTTACTAAAATTCCAGCTATTGGGGCACTCCCCCAGCTCCGCTATTGCTTCCCCTGCTCAGCTGTGCCTGCTTCACCCCCAGTCTGGCTTTACCCCCCTCCCCGCCCCGGTCTGGCTTTGCCCCCCAGTCTGGCTTTGCCCTGGTCTCGCTTTGCCCCTTGTCCCCAGAAGCCTGGACTATTGCATAGATTTTTCTCCTTGTATCACTTCCCCCGCCCCCCATGGGTATTTGCTGATTTATTGAAATTTAGTCTTGTAATACTTTTTTATTTATTAACCATTAGATTTCATGAAATGCTTAATAACAAGCCTGACTTTTCAAAGTCTCTCTGTTCTGGTGTGTTTTGAATTACTCCCCCTTCACCTTCTTCTCGCAGCAGAGTTAGCAGTGTTGTTCTGCTGAGTAAATGGATGCACAACCTAGAACTACTCAGAGCTTTGTTTGAAGCCCTTCCTTACTGAGTACTAAGCAAAGGAAAAGGCAGCTGTGTAGATGATCTTTGTCAAGGTTGGCATTTGGGAACATTTACTAGCTTTCCAAATAACAATCCTGGGCTACCATTAACCTGTTAGGTTGCTGTGTAGTTATTATTTTTTTATTATTAGTTTGCTTACAAAGTTCAGTATACCTGTGTTTTACACTATTCTTCATTCACAGTGTTTCATACAATCATTCTCTTGCATAATTTTTAATAAAATCAATCGCCATTGAACCGTGCCCATCATTACCCAGTCTTTTTGCCCAGATCCTTCCCCTTTCCTTGCCCCCTCCACTCACCAACCCTGTGGTTTAGCCTCTACCTATCCTCACCCCTCTGCTCCCACCTGTCTGTCCCCCTTGAGTTCCCACACGTTTTAATAGTTATACTTCTATTTTTATAATAATGGCCTTATGCAGACTTATGATGGCCTTATAAGACTGTGTTAGGTCACTCAGCATAGTGCTCTCCAATGGTACAATGACAGGCACTTGGCCAATGCAACAGAATCAAGAATCCAGAAATGGTCCCATCTATCTATGGTCAACTGATATTTGACAGGGAGATAAAATTTATCAAATGGGGAAATGACAACCTCTTGAACAAATGGTGTTGGCAAAACTGGACTTCTACCTACAGAAAGCTGAAACAGGATCCACATCTCAAACCATACACAAAAATCACCTCTAGGTGGACAGAGACCTGGGAGTAAAGCCTCAAACCATAAAGGTCTCCTGATATCATTCTTTCCATCTGGGGACCTAGCGGAGGCTTGTGATCAATATGGACTGAACCACTAGTGTGATGGTGGGTGCTGGATATCAGCTGGTGCCCATGCCGGTGGCTTCACATTTCAGTAGACTGAGTATGTTTCCGCTGTCGTGTCTCAGGACAGTTCTGAGAGGTGTGTGTAGAGGCTGCCCTAGTGTCACTGCTGGTCACAGCAGGAGGGAAGCTCACATACCAGGTGAGGGTATATGGACTCAGCCTGTAGGTAGACAGACGCAGACAGAGTTTGTAGTTACATGGTGCATAGCTTTATAAACCAACACAAGGTGTTGGGATATTCTCCAACAGTGTATTTTTTTGACAAATGTAATTTTTCCATGTTAACACTTCACCATTCAATTGGAAAAAAATGAAGATTCAAAAGAAAAATTTCTTGTCATAAAGTATAAGACAGTATTTAAAATACAAAACCAACCAAAAATCCCAAAGAGCTAAGGAAAGAAAACTCACTGTGATTGAGATGTTGGCTCATGACAGCCCATGGTTGTTCCAGGCTGGGGCTGCCCATCTTTGTCCAGTGGAGCTGTTGGTGGGTTTGAAGTACAGACCTTTTGGTCAGTAGACCCAGATGTACCCACCAACACTACACTGGCTCCTCAGAACACAGTAGGACAGTTAGTGTGTGTCACTGACAGCTGCTATCCGTTCTGCTCCACATGACCCCACATGCACACTGTAGAGCTTGTCCACTGAGCTCAAAGCTGTGACCTTTAAGAAGTTGATCACAAAGACGTCTTTCAAACAAGGCACTTTGGGGTGGATTTGGACTGCCAACTTCTTGGTTAGTAGTTTGTTCTATCACGAACTCCTAATGCAGAGGCAACACCCACCACACTCCCGACCAGCTCTGGCCTTGTCCTGGGAAGTCTACTGGAAGGCTGTCTTGGGAAGCTGCCACCCTTTAGACACAAGGGAAGGACTGACTGGCCACACCAGCACCATTGGCCAGTCCTGCCACGGGAGGGAAATCACATCAGTTCTTTGTAAAGCACTGAGACATCTTTTTATTACTTTTGTTAGGCTCAACCTTATATTTAGCAAATACTTTTTCCCCCCTGGTTGAGATATCAGATGTTAGTGGGACCTTTCTTTTTTTTTCTTTTTAGGAAAAAAAAGTATAAATTTTCTATTTTAAAATCATATAGTGTCATTATTTACAACACCTTACTGAAACCTTACAATTACTTCTTAAAATGCTCAATCTAAAGCTGCTTTGTTCCCTTTTTTCTTATAGGTTGCCAGTAGAGGGATTTGGGATGTTGCCTGGGACAGCTGGGTTGAAGCTAAACATGAAACAGAAAGTTACGTCGCCTTGGCCTTGGTTTATGCTCTCTACTGTGAATAGTTTATTTGCTCTCTCAGAAATACACAGAATCTAGCTATGTGGATCTGCAGAAGTTTTCATTATGCACATTTTTTTGTTCAAGTGGTAATTCCTTAAAATATATTCTCTTAACAACAAAATGTGAGCACGCTTTATTGAGCATACATCACTTACTTGTTCGTATATGCTATTTTCAGAGGTTTAATAAACCCCAGATGGATTATAAACACCTGAAATTCTAATAACAGCTTTCAGTCCCACCCCTTTGTGGAGGGAGATTTTGAGACTCTGTTCTGTATTCTCCTAATATCTCTGCATAACCCTATAATGCTCCCTACAGTGACTCCCTAAATACCTCCGTACTCCTCCATATTCCACACCATCATAAATCTTCCGACATATTCCTCTAGTATCCTGCTTCACTGACTCCCCATCTTTCTGGGCATGTCCATGTATCACTGCCCTGGACATGATCCCCATCATCACTCTTCCACTTTTCTTGAGTTGTTGGAGAAAACGCTGTCACATAGCTTCACTAAGTCAACAGGAGAGTCTTTTCTGGACTTAGAAAAGGGTTCAAACTCGGAAGCCAGTTTACCACCTTGCTAAGTGCTCAGGCCACAACTGAACCCACTGTCCTTTAAAGAGTAATAAGAATCAAGCACAATACCCATGAAGTGTGCACTTGTAACTGTCAGGAACTCAAACTTCTTCCCACGTCGTGCCTTGTTTGCAGGGACTTCTCTGTGGTTCCATATTGTCTGTATGCCCCATCCCTCCTCTACGTCTGTCTGAGGCCATTTCTACACATTCCACCTGGCTCTTCCTGCAGGGTGAATCTCACTACAGCCCTCTCCACTGAGAGCTGTTTTCCTTCCTCCTCTCACACAGGGCCTTTGACATCAACTCTAACTCCTCAGTTTATGCCATCCGGATAATTTGTTGCTCTAAGTCCTGCTTTCTCATTACTAGCCGACGGGAGCTAATAGGTCCAACGCTTGCAGCCATCCTTAGTGACGTCAGTATCCATGTAGAAAACTCATCCAGGAAGGCGGTGCCCAGCAAGCTCTGTATAGTTATGATGTGTAAGTTTCAGCCACTGTGGTAGAGTCAATCACTGTGGTATATGAACTGTGAGAAATTACACAGTGGAAGCATCAAAGCCAGCTCTGTGCTGCACAGATCACGTATGAAAAGAAACTGTGAGCACAGTGCTCCTTCCAGGACAGGCACTAGAAGTGTGTGGCTGCAATCCTGTTGGTCAGCCCTTAGGTCTGAGCATAGACGACAGAATGTGGGGCTGTGGTGTCTCCTCATCTCCCAATAGCAAACCCATGTGAAGTGGGGACTCCTAACAAAGATGAAAGTACAACAAAGACACAAAACCAGGTAACTTTCAAAGTGAAACTGGGCATGATTAGGTAATTGGCGTGCTCACTTTGGCAGCACGTATACTAAAACTGGAACGATACAGAGATTAGCATGGCCCTTGCACAAGGATGACGTGCAAATTTGTGAAGCATTCCATATTCTTAGTATATTTTGGAGGAACATTCTTCTTAATAGTACAGCATTCTTCTGTCAATACGCTGTACTGAGGTAACCTCAGGTTGCTGTGATGCTGAACCTTGTGCCACTGGGGTGTAAAATGCCGTAACGGTTACCCATGGTGGATGGTGTTTGGTGGAGCTCACAGTTTGGAAGCAGGAGTGGCATCCACTTCCTAAACATGCCTCTAGAAATTCTATGAACTTTGATAAATGACTATAGTTATAGAAAGGCTTTTTGTTCATAGGGTCGCTATGAGTTGTGCTCGAGTAGGCGACAATCAACAACAGGAGATTGGCATCAGTGAACAGAAGACACATGGGTGGTACAGGAGGGAACAGGGGAAAGGGCCAATAAGGATTCAAAACCAAGGTGGAGCTGGACAGTAACAAGGAGGACAGAAGAATCGATGCCTTTGAGTTGTGGTGCTACAGGAGTCTTAAACATACTATGGACCACCAAGAAAACAGGTCTGTCTTGGAGAAGGTGAAACCAATTTTATCCTTGGAGGCTAGAATTTTGAAGCTCCATCTCACATACTTTGGGCAAGTGGCCAGGAGGGATATCATGCTTGGAAGGGTGGTGGGACCGCGTAGGAGAGAAAGACCCCGATGAGATGGATTGACCTAGTAACTGGGGTAAAGGGCGTAGGTGTGTCAGAGCTGGAGATTGGCTTCAGAGCTGTTGTATATAGGGTTATTACAAGTCACAGGCGACTGACAGCACATTAACATAGAATAAATTCAAAACAGAAAGTTAAAAATGGATAATTTATTCTAATTTGGGCTGAAAACAAAAATACCAATCAGTGTGTCCAGCAGGATAAAGCATTGAAATCTTTACTGAAAGAAAATGGTCAATATAAAGATTCTGAAGAACCTTTTAGAAAAAACAAGTTTCTTCAGCTCAGAAGCCAACATGACTGGGGCTCTAGTGAAGCTGCTAGAGAGACTAGAATGCTGTAGCATCCACGCCCAGGCACCATGGAAAGATTCTGACACAGCAAGGAAACTGAGGGAGAGATGGGGATGAATTCAGGGAGAGTGGAGGTGCCTCCAGCTACACATCAGCAGATGCTCCAAGCATCCCTCAGCCTTCTGCCTAAATTGTAGGCCTTGTCAGTGGATTCTGGTACAAGAAGGGGAGCAGACCTGACTGCACGTGTGAGAGAAAGTAAAGCAAATTAGCAATTTCTGAGCCCAGAGCTGTTGGTTATCCATCTCTGATTTGATGCATGTGGAAAAGTCACGAAAGGATTTACTGAGGGTGAAGGAATGTTCTTTTTATTGTTGTTGCCGTGCGTTGTCGAGTTGAAACGGGCGTATAGCTGATCCTCTAGTGAGTTTTCCGAGGCAGTTAATCACACAAGAGGAGATTGCCCATCCTTCTCTCATGGACCAGCCGGTGGATTGGAACCAGGTGTCTTCAGAATTGCAGCACATCATCTTACCACTAGGCCACCAGCCAAATTATTTTTTTCTTGAAAATGTGTCTGCTGAATGTAATAAAGAGATTCCATATTGTTCTCTAAACCCTCTAAGAGAATAGTGCCTGCCATGAAGTGAACTTTTTTGAGAAGTGAACTTTAAGACACTTCTGGCCCTCATCATGCCAGCTGTCTGTCTCTATGTGTCTTTTAAAGTTCAGTTGCTAACATTTTTCATATTTTAGCCAAGACCTAGAAATGCCTGCATGAGACTTGAGACTAGGATTTATAAGAAATTCAGGTCACTGAAAAGAGCTGCCTTTCTCAGCGGCCTTGGGTTTGCACTGCACAGTAACCGTCGTTATAGTTCAGGCGGCCAACACTGGGGTGTAGATGTGGAGGTGAGCTCCTTCTCAGGCCCCGTGCAACCGAGGGAGGGGTCAAGTGGACAGTCCTGACTTCCCACCTAAATGGAAGGGCAAGAGACTTGAGGGTCCAGACCCTTCCTTGTTTAGGACAGTGAGGTTCGGGATCCAAGCCTCTAACCCCCAGAGCAAGGGGACGTGGGGAGAGTCTCAGGGGCCCTGCTGTAGGATGAAGAGGCTCAGGGTCCAGGCCCCCAGAGCGGGGTCAGGCGAGGGTCCCGGGAGGCCCCTGTTGTAGGTTGGCGAGGCTCAGGGTCCCGGCCCAGAGCGAGGGGTCAGGGGAGGGTCCCGGGGGCCCTGCTGTAGGATGGAGGGGCTCAGGGTCCGGGCCCCCAGCCCCCAGAGCGAGGGGTCCTTACGGTGGACGAGCGGAAGCTCAGGAACAGGCCGCACTCAGAGCGAGGGGTCGGGGAACGCGGGGACGGCCCGCGCGCACGGCGGGCGCGTGCACGGGGTCTGGGCGCGCATGGCGGGCGGGCGCATGGAGGGTGGTCCGCCAGGCAGGGCGCCGTCGGACGTGCGCGCGGGCTCCGCTGGTCTGCGCCGAGCGGGCGGCGAGAACAAAGGCGGCGCGGTCGCCGCGTGGACGCTGCCGGGTCCGGGGTCCCGGCGCGGGAGGCTCGGGCTCGGAAGGGACCCCCGTAGGGTCGAGGCTGGAGCAGCGCGGGGCGGGCACGCGGGGTGCTGACTGGGCTGCGGGGACCGGGCAGCCGGAGTGGATGCGCGGGGCATGAACAGGGCTGGGAAGCGGGCAGCGGGAGTGGACAGGCGGCCCGGCCTGGGCTGAGGGGGACTGGGCGGCGGGAGCAGAGGCGGGGCAGGCTCAGACTGAAGGGACCGGACAGCAGGAGCGAGCACAGGCCTGCAGGGCGGTCCGGGCTGAGGGGCCGGGCGGCGGGAGCGAGCACAGGCCTGCAGGACCGGGCGGCGGGAGCGGCGGCCGGAAGCGCTGGGGCCAGTAGGGGCCGGACCGGGAGGAGGCGCGGGTTGA